CAATTTCTGTTTTATCAGGTTTTCTCCTTTACTTCTAATGGAGGCAGAGACAGAGCCGTGTCTTTTACCTCCCCCCCATTTGTTCTCTTATGTAGTCCTTATGGCTTTTTTGTTTCCTTGAATCCTCATTTGTGGACCTCATAGTTAACAGATGATATCTATAGAATCCTTATTTCCAGAATGCTCCAGAATGACCTAGCCATTTGCTTCCCCCTCCAGATAAATGTAAACAATATTCATCACACATATATCCATCTTTCATTTCTCAAGACTCTTCATTCACTGTCTGAAGAGTTATGTTTCTCTTCTGGAGCAGTAAGGAAATCTTTTCTCCTTCCGTCACTCCATGTCTCAGGCTCCACATCACAGAAGCAGTTTCGTAGATAAATGAAAACAAACCTTTGAGAATTTCTCTAAGCTTGGTACAGAGAGAGAGGGAACAACCACATAAATAACAAAAACAACAGAGCTTTAGCTTCTTCTTGTCTCTAAATTTTCCCAACCTGCATAAGCAAAGGCTTCCTTGTTCTTTGGAGGAATTTCCTTTCAGAGGTCTGTTTATGGTCTGTGTGCCCTCAGTTCTTTCCCAAGCTCCATCGCACTGTGCTCCCACCTCCGATAACACAACTTCCATATTATATACAACTACTAGTTTACTATATGAAGTCTTACTGAATTTGTGTTTTATCAGAAATAACACAATTTCCACAATGCTATCAAAGAACTATACAACCTTTTAATTTGTACAATTAATATGTGAAAATCCTTAATTTGTGCAAATTAATATGGGTTATTATATCAAAAATAACTTTTTAATTGGCTGTAGATGTGTTTTTGAGGCATGGGAAATGAGTAAGGGAAGTTTGTCAGAGTAAAATATGGAGATGTATCAGGGAAGTAGGAAAGGAATCAGAGCAATATCGAAGTATGTGGTTATACACAGGCACACAAAAGCAAAAATACTTGCACAGAGAAGTTTACAGCTTCAGAACTGATAAAAGATCTTGAGAAATGCAATATTGCTCATTAGGAGAGAAACTGAGAAGAGTAATGAGTGAGGCTTGAAGAGTAGGTCATAAAAGAACATATCTGATACCAAGGCACAGTGAAATGCAATTAAAATGTTCTCAAGACAATTCGTAAAGGGGTGAAATGTATTGCACCAAGTTTTATGGCCTAATAAAACTAAAATGTACCTTCACTCTGTTGGAAAGGTTTATGAAGAGGAAGTAGAGAAGAGAGGTAATATAAACAGGCGGTTTCTATGGCTTTTGAGGTATTATCTAAAGGGACAGATGAACTCTCCTCCATTTGTAATAAAATAGAAACAAACTGAAGCAGAAATACTGGGTCAAGGATTTCTTAGAATGGAAACAAATGTATTGATAGTGAACCAAAATTTTAAAAAATCAAAATTAAAACTTAAAAATTGTGCAACTCTTGTAGCACATTACCCTGCCCTCTCCATTTGTGATTACCTCAAGACATTTGTCCTTTTCTTGACAAAAAAGTAGATAATGATGATAAATGATATGGAGGGATGGTTGAGTCATAGAGACATAGATAAGATCAGCTGATAGATAACTTTTGCTGTTTGTCTAAGAAAAGTGTTTTTCCAATAAAATAGGTAAGAGAAAATAGATAAAAACATTAGCACATACATTTATATCTATGCATGCAAGTAAATCATTACTATTATATCATGCATTGTTTGATAGAATTGACCCTTTACTTAACTGCATTTACTTTTAAGTAATATAAGGGCAATCATATGCTTCATAGTAACGTAAAAGAATTGTGATGTCATAGAGAATAATTTCTGCTTTTAGTGATATAAAGTCATGTGGTTCTATGGGCCTCAATATGCTTATCCATAAAACCAGGTTCTTATCTGCCCTGTTGAGCTGCTTCTGGGGTTTCAGTGATCAGAATGTGACATGGCTTTATGTGTGATGTCATTATAAGAAGAAGGCAGACAAAGACAGGAGGGGACACCATATGATGACATGTGTATAGACTGAGATGCTACAGCTGCAGGTCAGGAAATGCCATGGTTTGCTGGCAACCGCTAAGGGCCAAGGAAAGGCAAGAAAGGACTTCCTCCAGGTTTCAGGGGAAGCACAGCCCTGCAGACGCCTGTTTTGGACTTCTACCTCTGAAACTGTGGGACAATATTTTTCTGTTTTTTAAAGCCACCTACTTTTTGATACTTTGTGTTGGCAGCTCTAGGAAACTACTACAAAAGTGTTTAAGAGACTAGTATTGTATATAAACTATATTTCAATAAAAGTTAAAGAAATAAAGTACATAGAAGATGAAAGCCCATAGATTACTTTTATGTACAACCTATTAAACTAAGCTATAAATGTGTATTAAGTAAAATAAAAGCTAATGAAAATGACATAGAAGAGACATATATAGAAAATTATTCACTAGTAATTTGAAAAATCAAATAATTTTATAAATCAATTTATTAATAGCATTGTCATGAATGGAGTGATGTATCTATACTATTATTCCACTAGTGTAGAAAATTTCCTGATTGTCATTGATTTTTTTATTTTGGGATCATTAATATAAAATCACATGAGCAAAATTGTGGTTACTAGATTCCCCCCATTATCAAGTCCCCACCACATACCCCATTACAGTCACTGTCCATCAGCGTAGTAAGATGCTGTAGAGTCGCAACTTGTCTGCTATACTGCCTTCCCCGTGCCCCCTACATTATGTGTGCTAATTGTAATGCCCCTTATTTCCCTTATCCCTCCTTTCCCACCCATCCTCCCCAGTCCCTTTCCCTTTGGTAACTGTTAGTCCATTCTTGGGTTCTGTGATTCTGCTGCTGTTTTGTTCCTTCAATTTTTCTTTGTTCTTATGCTCCACAGATGAATGAAATCATTTGATACTTGTCTTTCTCCACCTTTATTTCACTGAGCATAATACCCTCTAACTCCATCCATGTTTTTGCAAGTGGTAGGGTTTGTTTTTTGCTTATGGCTGAATCATATTCCATTGTGTATATGTACCACATCTTCTTTATCCATTCATCTACTGATGGATACTTAGGTTGCTTCCATTTCTTGGCTATTGTACATAGTGTTGTGATAAACATAGGGGTGCATATGTCTTTTTGAAATGGGGATCCTATGTTCTTAGGGTAAATTCCTAGGAGTGGAATAACTGGGTCAAATGGTATTTCTATTTTTAGTTTTTTGAGGTGCCTTCATACTGTGTTCCACAATGGTTGAACTAGTTTACATTCCCACCAGCAGTGTAGGAGGGTTCCCTGATTCTCACTGATTTTTTGAAAAATATTATATTATCATTACACAACCTTTAAAAAAATAAGTGTAATGAAAAAAATTGTTTTGTTTTTAAATGTGCTTCTCTCTTATGAAATTAACAATAGAACAAAATTCAGGGTGTAATATACAGACAGTCCCCAACAAAATAGTTTGACTTACTATTTTTCATCTGTATGATGGTGTGATAACAATGCACATTCTGAAGAAACTGTACTTGGAATTTTAAATTTGAATCTTTTCCCAGGCTAGTGATAATGTGGTCTGATGCTCTCTCATACTGTAGGAAAGCACAGCAAGATCCCCATCAGCCATGTGATCACGAGGGTCCAGAAGGAATATACTCACAACTGCTCTGTACCCATACAACCATTCTGTTTTTAACTTTCAATACAATATTCAATGAATTACATGAGCTATTCAACACTTTACTATAAAGTAGGGTTTGTGGTCAGTGATTTTGCCTACTGTAGGCTAGAGTAAGTGTTCTGAGCATGTTTCAGGTAGGTTTGACTAAGCTATAGTGTTCTGTAGGTTAGGTGTATTAACTGCATTTTTGACTTAAGTTATTTTCAATTCACAGGGGGTTTATCAAGACACAACCCCATCACAAACCAAGGAAGATCTCTATACACATTATTACTTTGGTGGAGGACAAATATTATTTTGTAGTTTGTTTCTCTTTTAGTATTATAATGGCAATTTTGAGTTGTCCCATAATAATGACTGACTAGCTATATGACTCAAATGCTTCTAAGGTCTTCTGTAGATAGATGCTTGCTGCATTTTAATAGTTGCCTTATTATAGAAAAGAAGCAGGTAGGATATAAAAAAATTAAAACAACTTCAATAGTTAAGATAATTTTATTTGCTATAACTGATAAATCTTCACATCACTATGGCTTAATTCATTAGTTAATATGAAACCCGAATAGCCTTTGCCTTCTGCATGTGTCTGCCAACGTCATCTAAGAACATCAAGTCATCAGGATGATCTATGTTGAAGATGACCCTTGTGAAATCCTGCTTTTAACACCATGAGTATAATTTGCTGCACAGGAATATCCAGAGACTAACTGGGAGACATTGAGCAGAGGAGTTGGACAAATTATATTGAAAGAGAATTCCTCAGCATGTTTTGGACTCAAGATCCTTCAAGCAAACTCTATTCTCTTGAAATCTGGTGATGCATGAAATAAAAAGATAAAAAGACCCTTTCACCCAGTAGTTATAAAATGTGGATCAGAACTGGGCTATCTGCAATTAAGGCTCCCCTTTAAAAGGGCACTTTTGTGAGGTTCATTTCTCTAGGATGGAGAGTCCTTGGTTAGACCTTGATTTGCTCCAGGAGGCTCCTCTGCATCCTTTATCCCCCTGGTGATGAGTGTTTGGGGGCATTCCCTCCTTGGTGTGTTAGTTTTTGTATAATTCTACAGTTTTCAGCCCGTTATGTGCACATGCAAGGTTGGGGGACCACTTGTTGTTTTCGTACTTGAATTTCATGCTTAAGTTTACTTTAGTCTTGTTGTGGAGATACAATTCCTAAAGTGTTCCTGAGCTTCCCGTGTCAGTGTCCACACAGTTTCACATGCAAGTTTCTACATCCAAAGTTCTCTCCTAGATCCTATTTTCAAAGTCACTGTCCATCCCTTGCCTTTCTTTCTCACAAACTGATGGCAGCTACTTTGAGGCCCTTTATTTCATCTTGACTCATGGCTGAAATGCTTTGCTCAACTGAGAAGTTTTACTGGACTTGGTTGCTCAAAACCATTTTATTAAAATGCATATACACACAGTCCCTGACGTATTTAGACAATTCTGGTCTTATTGTTTATTATTGGAGTCTAACAGCACTCATCCTTGCCAATCACCAAGACTTGAGCAGTGAAGTCTCTATTTCATCTGATTAACTGTTTGAAAACAAGCCAGTTCTTACCTGTGCTGGTTTCTTATTCATGGCAGTTTGCTGAAGACAAACAACAGACAATATTCTTATTCCTTCCAATCACTCCATCTAGAGATACAAGGTTTGAGTGCATTTGGTCTGCCTTTAAGCTGTCACCCTTCATAATGATGTTTAGATTTTTCATCTGGCCACCAAGAAATTATCACATTTTTTAATTTTTATAAAGGCAGCAAACCATTTGAAAGCAACAATATCTGTATTTCTCAGGTTAACATTTGCTAAATGCTAAGACAAATATCCCTCAAATCTCACATTGTCTTCCTCCACTATCGGTAATATAGCTATGCTAACTGAAAAGGGAGTTCAGAAAATGTAGCTTAATACCTCTAGGACCAGGAAAAAAGAGAACACAAAAATACAGGTGAAGCCTGGAAATATCTGCCACAAAAATCAATGTCAAGCTATGGCACAAAAATCTTCTAACTTTGTTGTTTGTAAAATTTCTACCCTAATGCTGATTCCCAAGAACAGGCATACCTCCACAAAATATGCCTCTCATTGGCTTACATCTTTCAAATGGTTTCTCATCTCACTCAGAATGAAAGCAAAGAACTTGTTAAAACTTACAAGGCTTAAACCTCAGTTCCCTTTGTGACCAAACATCTGCCAGTCTCCTCTTCACTTACCCTGCTGTAACCACAACTGACAGACCTGCTTATTCACCTCCAGGTAGTTGTGTATCTGCAAGACAATTTTTGTAAGTGTTATTCTCCCCTGGCCCTAAAGGCTCTGTTCTAACACATTCAAATGGCTCACAGCTCAGGCCCTTCCAAACTTCTGATCTATACTCAATCATGGATTAACAACGCCTTTCATGACAACGTTCAGGATCAAAGATTTTCCTTCTTGTTTCTAGTGCAGCTCTCATGGGATTACTGCAGCCCATATACCTTCTCTAGCTCCTGACTTCTGCTTTCAGTCCTGGTCAGCAGAAGCCTGGTCATCAACTGCTCCACATACCTCTTAGATGATTTTGAAGCAAAGCACCTCCAGTGTGAAACCCTTTGAACAGCTTCCTTTGGTACTGCAGAGGGTGAATTTCCAGCAAATTCCACCATCTTGGCACCAGAATTTGACCTGGATGGCAGGTATGGGGTGTCTCTTCCTAAGCACTCCAGCTCAGTCCTAGAATTAGTTATTCCCTGTCTATTGGCTATTCCTTTAATCTCAGAGTTCTATTTACTTCTTACTTCTGATGCCGGGGTTCTTGTTTGTGGAGTCAAAGAATGAACTTAGCAAACACCCAAGGTAGGAGAGCCAGAGAGAGGCTTTTATCTAGAGATATAGTGAGAGGACAGAGCTCTTGGCTCTTGTCAGGAGGGGACAAGAGAGCCCATGATGGCGCATTGTCTAGGAGATTTATAGTCGGTTGAGGATTTTTAGGAATGTGGGTAAAGGGCTAGGGGTGCAGACCTGTACCACCTGCCTTGCCTCCAAGGTGGGCTGGGTTGTTGTCTGTTTGCTAGGGCTGTTTATAGTTGAGATACAGTGAAGTCATGGGTTATGCTGAGATACTCTTCTTTATTTGTGGAACACTCAAACATTCCTGGCCAAGTGACTCCTGGCCTTTTGAACTTTAACTGATCTCACTGAAGATATCTACATTCCTAGTCTGGTATCTTTACCCTAGAGAATTATTCTGACCTTGATTTTGCATAATGCTTAACACAGAGTTTCAATAGGAACTTCTTTGCACATTGTTACATTGTTCTGTCTGTAATTAACTTGCTTTGTTTTTTTTTTTCCGGAAGCCTTCACGCTACTCTGCCTAAACCCACGTCCCTGTCTCACTATCAATCCCCTATTATAGTTAATAAATCTTTATATATTACTTTCCCTCTTAAAATTCTGTCTGGTCTCTGACTTCTCACTGGAAACTATAGTAGGTGCTCAATAAATGTTTATTCATTAATAAATGGGTTTCTTGCTTACATTGCACTTTGAAGGATGGTATTAGTTCTTAGTACTCTACCACAGCAAATAATTGAGTTTCATAAAAAAATTTGATAGAGTAAGTTTGTATTTCATTGTTGTTCAAAGCACTACATTTTAGATAGGTGGTTTGAATTTCATTGCATCCACTGGTCATTTTATAGTTTTTCTCTAATTATGAAACACATAACAACTTTAAAGTGTTATGAATATGAAGAGTGTTCCAAAGCATGTGAGAAGAAATCAGTTTGCTAGTACGACTGACACCTTTTACAGCTAAAAGAGATTTACAAATTTTCAGGAAGAGTATTATGACTGGAACTTTATAAACCTTTATCCATCCTCACATTTTTCATCCTGTCTACCAAAGGTTTTGTTTTGTGATTACATTAATGAATGCACCTATATTCATTATGTGACAATTAATATTTAGTCACTTCATCTTTACCATAGTGCCTAGATTATCCCTGTAGGTGTAACAAGGTCTTTTGTCATTAGGTATATGTTTTAATATTTATGTTGACTGTTGAACTATTTCTCCTTGTCTGAATTAATTACCACACAATTACCTAATTCACATAATGAAAATAAATGTATAATTATAATTCTATACATATAAACACAATTTTGAAAATGTTAACCTCAAATATTGTAGAAATCCTTTGTTACCTCGTAAATATTGAACAGATTCTGTGCCATAAAATATTGAGATATAAGTCTTCATAAGCTGTTTCTCACATTGGCAGTTTTATGGGAGTTAACATTCTATAGACTTCCTGATATCTGCTAAGTTATATTTATTCATGCCCAATGCAGTTTGACACCAAAAAAGTCCCTCTGTTGATGAATGTGTGTGCCATGGACCCATTTCTTAGAAAGGTTGACAGTGCAAATGCTATTGAAACCATGAAATCATATTTTTTGTTATCATTTTTTCATAATCCACTTTCAGTTTTTTTATGTTCTGTGTGTGTGTGTGTGTGTGTGTGTGTGTGTGAGATCAGACTGCACTTTTCTCTCAACAGCTGCAGACACAGATTCAGCTTTAAATTATCTTCCACTTGCTCATAATTACAATTTATGGCTCTAAATACCACCAAAGTTTTTGGCAATTTCATTTTGTCATTTTTTTATGAAGTGAATTTTTAATAACCCCCCTTCCCAACCCCATAATGTCCATTTTGGAGCTATTGTCTTGTATATAACCTTTTAAAATATAGTTTCCAAAGTACTTAGTCAAATCGGTTGCCCTACATCCTTCTCCATATTTCAAGGTAGAAGAACTTTCAAAGTCCAAACACAAAAATTGTGAGTAACACATAAGAAACATGTTCAAAAAATCCTCAAAAATGTATGTGGAGATATTGGTTGTCAACAAAGATGGAGGAAGCCCACTCCACCTTATTCCTTCTACTGAATGCAACTGAAAATCCTGAACTTTGAAAAGTAAGTAGCTGGCAGACAAGGCAGGACATCAAAGCGAAGGAAGACCTATTCACTGGTATCACATTATTTTTCTTCATTCATCACCTAAGTGTGGCCCACCTTAAGGAATTGTGGCCACACGTGAACAACAAAAACTACAATTTAAGCTACAAGCTGGAAAGTTTCGGTGGCAGTTTCTTTGCAGTGCCCTGCTCCATGGATGTCATCTTTCAGTAAGTGCACTGCTCTATCCATGGTGTGAGACCGCACACCTGACACGAACCACCTGCCCCTCTGTGCAGAGGCAGCAGGAGTCAGGGTGTGTGCTGTGCAGGGTGCAGAAGGAACCCTGTTATTCTTGCCTTCCTTCGTCTTACTCTTTTGCTTTGAGTGCACCTCAGTGTATGTGAGAATGTGCAGCAGAATAGAAGAGACAAGACTCAGAAAAATCTGTCTTGTATTGGCCACAAAAATCAAGAAAAGTGGCCCCTGGGATCCAGAGAGTGTGACAAAGATTAGTATGGGGTGAGTTCAATCTCCTGATCCTGTAATTCTCTGTGGGAATCAGATGTGTCAAACTTTTGAGCTTGCCATTCACAGAGCAGACTCCAAGAAGCACAGTGGAAGCTTTGAGAACTAAATACTCTATAAGCCAGATTTGAAAAACTACGTCCCACAGAATGAGACCATGAACAGACAGTGTACAACCCGTGAGCTAAGAATAATTTTATCTGTTTAAAGGCTGTAAAACAAGTAAGCAAACACAACACAAACAAAGTGGAATATACAACAGAGACCATATGTCACCTATAAAGCCTAAAATATTATCCACCTTTTGAAGAGCAAAAATGGCTGATCCCTGATTGGAACTGGCCAGATTCCAGACAAACTTCTAAATGGCACAAGCTCGGGGTGGCACAAACAGTATGGGCAAAGGGTTTGAAAACTGAAATGGCATTAGATTCACCACTCACAGAGGTGAGACAAATTTGTGAAATGAACCTAGCAAGATGAGCTGCCTGCAGAAAGAAAGAGACAAAATTTTCATGGACATTTTCCAAGTGATTTTAAAAGAATCAGTGTCTCCAAAACAATACTGGAAATGTACAAAATCTAATCTAAAATACATGACGTGATACAAACTGCAAAACGTGACCATTTAACAGCTGGAAACCTCCAGTTTAGAACAATTTTGAAGTAGGTATTAAAACTGCGCTCCTCATGGAAGAGATGAGAACTCTTACAAAGAAAGATAGATTTCTTGTCAGAGACATAGAAACTGTAAAAAAGAAGCTAGAAATGTTGGAACTGAAATATATAATATCTGAAATAAAAATCCACTGTGAGGGCTTCATAGCAGAATGTAGAAGATAGATGAAAATGTCCAAGCACTTGATGATACAACAATAGAACTTAATCCGATTTGAAGAACAGAGGGAAAAAGAAAGAATACAGCCTCAGAGGTTTGGGGGACAATATCAAAAGGTCTATCATTTATTATTTTGCAGTCCTAGAATGAAAGAAGAAATGAGTTTAGTTCAGAATTTAAAAAGTGGTGAAAGTTTTCCAAATTTTGTTTTAAAATCACAAATGTACAGATTACAGAGGCTCAGAAAGCTTGGAAAGTATAAATCATACTCAGACACCTCATGATCAAAAAGCCAAAAATCAGAGAGAAAAAAATGTAGAATCCTGAATGCAGACAGCAAAAAGGACACTTTGCACAGGGGAATAACAATTCAAATTGCTGTGAATTTCTTTCAGAAAACATGGAGTGTAGGAGACATTGGGGCAACATATTTAAAGTGCTTGGGAGGGAGTAAAGCTTGTCACTCAGAATTCTAAATCCTGTAACAATATCCTGGAGAAATTAGTGCTACATAAAGGTGTTTTCAGATGGAGGGAAATGAAAAGATTTGGCAACCATCTTTCTCTAAAAAAATATGCAAAGTGAAATTTTTCAGGCTTAAGAAAAATGATTACAGAGGCAGTCATTTAACTATCAGAATAAGATAAACTGATGAAATATTTGGTAATTATAAGGCTATTTTCTTACTTTGTTGTTTCCAATAATTATGAATGTTGAAAGCTAAATTTATAAACCTTTCAAGTAGGGAATTCACTGATTGTAGATGCAATGTATTTGTGATGATGGTAACATAAAGTGAGATGGAAAAGATACCATTATGTCTTCAAAGTAAACTTTAAATTTTACTTGAACTGGTAAAAAACCTTAACTTTAATTACAATTTTAAGGTTAGATAGGCATCTAGTAATTGCTAGAGCTGTCAACTAATAAATCAAAAGAGATAGACAATGTATCATTCTATACACAAACTATAGGCAATCCTGGTCAAAATTTCAGGATATTTTATAGACTTTGACGAGCTGTTTCTAAAATGTATATGGATATGCAAAGGGAATACAATAACAAAATAATTGTGAAATTGAAATGTGTGCTCACTCCTGGTAGTGCATATGGAGAGAAGAGTTACGTAGAAGTAAATAGGTGACCAGTAAAACCAGTACAATTGTTCTGATTAGTCTGGAGAGAGAATGACTATAGTAGTTTACAATGGTATGTTTCAGGTACCTGTGTCGATTTGAGTGACAGGAGATGTGAGTGGCAAAGCCGATTGCATTTAGTCAGCAGGACAGAAACCCTACCATCTCATAGACTCATAGGTTACATGTGTTTATTGCTGTCTTGCCAATGGGTTTCAGCCCTGGGCAAGTTCACTATGGATTCAATGTGACCAAAGAAATTGACAGCAAAACGTTCTTGGGGTGAAAGGTTATAC